TGAGAGCGAGGTCAGTCTGGTCTCCATAGCAAGTTCCAGGACAGCTGGGGCTACAGGGAGACCCTGTCTCAAAAGGACAAAAAAAACCTGTGTGAAAACTGCAAATATTTGATTAAAAAATAAGGTGGAGGGTCATAGAGGAAAAACCCTACTGTGTTGACCTCCCCCAAACCCATACATAAACACACAAACCACACAATAAAAGGGGAAAAAGGGAGAGTAGCTGTGGTACTTGAGGGAAACACCATTTTATCATTTGAATTGTTCGTCAACAAAGAAATGTGCAAACTCGAAGTAGTTATATTTGCCAGAAAACACTCTGCTGGAATCCACAAACTCAGAGGTCGCTTGTTTATCCAATGGCCAAGTATTTCCTTTTTTTCTGAGTAAAAAGATTTTCCTAGGATTTAAGCATTTGCACTCAATTCTTTGGTAAGTAATAGGAAAAAAAAAGATGATACACTGCATAAATATTTAAAATATTTCTTAGTTAAAACCTTTTTAGCTGGGCATGATGGTCCACATTTAATCTCAGCACTCAGGAGGAAGAGATAGGAGGCTCTTGAGTTTGAGGCCAGCCTGATCTATATGGTGAGTCCCAGGGCAGCCAGGGCTACATAGTGAGATCTTGTCTCAAGACAAAAATAAATAAATTACAAAAACCTGAAAATAATCAAATGATTTGAAAAAGAATCACTACTTAAAATATTTATTATTTCTTGAAATTCCTAACTTGAGTCTTTGTGATATGTTATACTCAGGCATATCAAATTATCTTACTTTGAATAAACAGAAGAAAGGTTATAAAAACTTAGCACACATAATGCCTGATGTGAAGATATTTGCCAGATATTTCTTCTGCTTCAGCGAATCCATTTCTAATATCTGGACTGCTACCTTGAAAAACTATTCATTTCATAAATAGTGAAATGAGCATCTCTATGCATTTTTGAGGTGCATAGTACACACTCATGAGTACATCTAATCCTGAAAAAGACAGGAGTTTTAAAAGAAGTATTTTTCTCTTTCACATTTTATCTGTCTCTTGTCTTTGAATATTCATGCATGTGTACAACTTGTTTTACTTCTTAGTCTTACAGAGAACATGGTTAGTATCTGGTACAAGCGCAATTTAGCTAAAAATAAAGAATAAGAACTAACCGAAATTCAGTAGAAAATTTACCCAGTATTTGTAAAACAACATACCACTCATGAAAATCTAAATAGCCTAGAGTCCTTCTAATCATGTTTTTTTGCAGTTATTGAGGCAACCTGAAGAGAGAAGTCATGATGTTCAGGTAATACAAGAGGATATCCCTGACTGAAGAAAAATAGCATACACACACACACACACACACACACACACACACACACACACGGGCGCGTGCCCCACATCTCCATTAAACTGTTTGGTTTCAGTAAGCAACTTGACTAAGCAACACTTAATCTTATATTTTATTATAAATACAGCTTTAGGTCAAAACACCTGCTAAACAAGCAATTCGGTTCCCTTTAATTCAGGGGAATGGCACAGGTCTCCCATTCATAAGAGGAGTGCTCAGGATCTACAGTGAAAACTTCTGTGAGTGTAACTTGCCTGGTTATGACAACTGAAGTCAGAGAGTTAAACTTTTCTTTAGAAATGTAAGTTTAGAACAAGACACTATTTTTAAATTTTTCATACAAGACTATATTGTGCACTGAGCAGAACCCCCATGTTTCCCGCTCCCCATTCTCCTCTCCTTCTCCCTCTCCCCTCTCCTATTAGTCCCCTTTGTGTGCTTGAACAGTTTCATGTCTACCTTTATGTCACACACACATGATTTTATGCATCTCTTTAGGTATCACAAATGAGAGAAAACATGATTTTGTCTCTGAGACCAGCTTACTTCTTCATATGATTGTATTCACTGTCTCCATTTTCCTGCAAATGACAGTCTTTATTCTTTATGGCTGAAAAATGCCATATATATTCATATATAGATATAGATATATATGAAATCCACCTCCACACTGGCTTCCACATAGCCAGACACTTTACACTCCCACTAGCACTGTGTCCCTTATTTCCACATTCTTGCCAACATTTGTTATTTCTTTTCTTTGACATTTTGGTTGTTGGCCTTAGCCTTTAATGGCTACGTCACCTCTCCAGCTCTATTTTTTAATGACTGTCTGTTCTCACTGGAATACGATAGTATCTCGATGCTGATTTGCGTTTCTCTGATAGCTACTGGGTTGGCCATTTATATTCCAACTTTTCAGAACTGTCCATTCCCTTAGCCAGGCTAATTGCTGATTTGGGTGTTTGATTTCTTGTTTAGTTTTTGGTAGAACAAGATACCTTATAAGCAAATCTTTACTTTCATCCATGTATCATCTATTGAGAATAATTTCCATGCACCTTTACATAGTACCATGATTTTACTAAAACCAAAAATGCACCTTAGGAAAAAGAAAATGGACTAAAAATCAAGATTTTTGAATAATTTTTAATGATATGCGACTGTATTGCTGATATACTGGTAAACAAAAGCAAGAGGACTGTACCCTAGAGATGGCCAAGTAACCAGAAGGACCCTGGTAAAGGATAGCTAGCATGCTTTGCCAGTCCTGGAACATAATCAGAATTGTTAAGAGGGAGATAAAATTCATTCTGTGCTTTGTAGTCTTTTGTTTAATACCACCCTAAGAATATTCCAGACAGAATACTTTACCTAATACCATACCTAACACCTAACATGGAATATTCCGAGGGTGCCATCAGACAAGAGCTCACAAAATATATTTAGCCTGGGCTAAGAATGAAAGTACAAAAGAAGAAATCTTCTATAGAGTTTACATTGCACTACAAATGGATGTCAATGTGACTTCTCAGGCTTACACTGCAGATGACACAATTACAAAAGTACAATCTTCTTTCAAAGAAAACTGTATTGGATGCTCATCCCCATATGTAATGAGGAGTGTGGAAACTTAAATAGGTAGGAATTAATGCATAATCAAAAAGAATCAATAAAATCTGTATTTTATAGGTGTTCTAGCTCATCACTCAATGTTTATTACTACATGCTAGATATTCAGTTTTAAAGGCATTATTAATAGCTAGCTATTGAGCTTTAATCTTTGCCAGATACTTTTCAAAGCATGAATCAATTAACTTAATCCCATAATAATCTACAACATAGGTACTAATAATACCATGTTGTAAAAAGGAAAGCCAGGCACAGAGAAGGTAAATTCCTTGCCCATGGTGTTGGCAATAATCTGTCTGGTGCAAAGACTAGATTCAGCTTTCTTATCATACCATATCCTATAATTTCTAGCCCAGCCATTTTTAAATATTTTATTATTTTTATTCTGTGTGTATGAGTGTATTACCTGCACATGTGTAAGTGCACCTGTGTTGTGCAGTGCCTGCGGAGGTCAAAAGAGGGTGTCAGATTCCCCTGAAACTAGAGTTACGGATGGTTGTCAGCTGCTGTGTGGGTGCTGGGAATCAAACCCAGGTTCTCTTCAAGAGCAGTTAGTGCTCTTAACCACTGAGCCATCTCTCCAGCCCCATTCATCCATTTTTATAAATCTTTGCAAGTTTATCTCTGACATTTAACACAACAGAACATATGAATTACTTAGGGAATAGATGATAAGGGAGTAGAAATACCTAAAATAATCAAGTAGCATAAAATCAACAGGTGCTGTAGATAGGTCAACAAAGTCCATGCTGCCTTAACTTAAAGTATCATTTTATTATACCAGACAATACCAATTTTGGTTCTTCAAAATATTTTCTAACTATAGTCTCATCTTATGCATTTCCTTTGTGTTAGCTCCTCTTGTCATGCTAATGAGCAATATGAATTTTCACATAGTACTGAGAAGCAAATAGAGAAGAAATAGAAGAGATCAAATGTTTTAAGAATCTTCCTGCAACCACTAAATACTTAAGGTCAATTTCATGTTTTATAGGCATTAAGCATGTGGCTGTGTTATGTCAGACCAAAATTGATTATCTCTTTTTCCCCTATTTACACGGTACAAAAGTAAACATCTTTGACTGCTATGCCCTGGTCAAACTGCTTGGTTTCCTTCAGTACCACCTTGCAGATCGAGGTCTCTAGTGGTGTTAAGAGAAGATGAAAATTAGTGACTTAGGCTGTAAATGCCACAAACACCGAGCATGATGCAACCTGTCAGTGGAGACACCTGCTACAGTATTTTTATGCACTTCCAAAGTGGGAATCTTTTCAATGTTGCTTTCATAGGAATCATGCAGACAAGAGAAATCAATTCTTTTATAATCCTGAGGGTGCATTTTCATAACCTTGGACTAGAAGTACAAGAGGAACAGGAATTTCAATAGCCAATTAGCAATCCTGGAACACTCAGAGAAACTGAGCTTAGAAAAAGGAAGTGCACGAAGAAGCATTTTTAAAGTTTCCTTTTTTTATATAACTTAAATTTTTTTTATGTGTATGAGTATATTGCCTGCATGTCTATGAATGCACCCGAGTCGTGCAATGCCGTGGAGGTCAGAAGATGGCGTTGGATTCCCCTGGAACTGTAGTTAAGGACAGTTTGTAGCCGCCATGTAGGTGCTGGGAATTGAACCCAGGAGTGAGATGGTTCAGTTGGTAAAGCGTGACCACCTGAGTTAAGCCTGGGACGCACATGGTAGGAGAGGACTGATTCCTACAAGCTGACCTCTGTTCTTCACACATGTGCTGTGGCATGCAGACATGTACACACAATAAAGAAAATGTAACAAAATGAGCAACGTATTTTTACATTATGCTAAACAGTGACTACAGTCATCACTGATGATCATTCCATAGACAATTCCAACTTGTTCATCAACATTGTAGCATTTCTTGATTTTTTTAAAGACACCTTATTTTTTACAAAGATCATAATTCATATTAGTCAGTGTCCTATAAATACACATGATACTAAGTATCTATTAAAAACAAAAAGCACTTGTAACAAACTGGCATTCTTACCAACTCCAGAAGATATCGACTCTATGTCGATGTCAGCAGCCCTTTTTCTCGCCACCTCAGCCAGTGCCAGCTCACCCTTATCTAGGGCAAAATAATGAATATCCTTTGGAAACAAGGAAAGAAGAGGTTGATTAAAAAGTAATTGCAGTAAAGCTATAAAAGAGAATTTAAAAGGAAGAAATATTGTTCAGATTACACAATAGATATGACTGCTGAATATCTTTTTCTATTTGAAATTTAACAGTATTCTTTACCAGAAGATAAATTTTCTTAGAGATCACAGTTGTAACTAATTATAGCATACCAAAGCGGAAAATAGATGTTTTTTTTTTTTAAAAAAAACAAACTGACGTAGTCAGTTTTATTAGGAATTAAAAACCTGTGTGTGTGTGTGTGTGTGTGTGTGTGTGCGTGCGTGTGTATTTAAGGAGTTAATGTCTAAGGGGGTGTCTACACACATGGACACAGTTTTTTTTTAAAAGCCAGTGAGTCACTATGTGGCCCAGGCTGGTCTCTTGAGCTCAACTGATCCTCTTTCTGCCTTCCAAACATCTGGTTCTATCTGCAAGTGCCATTGTTTTGGCTCTGAGAGAGCTTCTTAACAATATATTATGCTAAGTTCTGTACAAGGAATATTATCTATTTTACGTCCGGTAACAAATAATTAGTACCTACACATACCAGGCAGTGTGCTGGAGAATACAGATCAATTATAATTCCAGTCTCAAAAAATTTTGAGCCTAGTAGTGACAGATTATTATAAAACAATAGTTAATTTTTAAAAGCTGTGATAGATTTTAATGGCAGTTATTTGCACAGATAGGCACAAAAGAGGAGGAGCTGATCCTTGCTATGAATGTTGGATGGTTTGTAAGAATTATGCTAAGAGGGAAAAGAAGGAAAAACAGCAATGTAGGAAGGACATCTGGTGCATATATGCAGAGAAGCTTGGGAACACAACTTGGTCAGGCAATGGTAGCTCTTTCAAACGGAAGGAGAGCTAACTACATGGGAGGAAGCAGTAGAAAAATTATACAAAGTAAGTCCAATAAGCACAACAGCTGAGAACTCTCACGCAGCATGATCACTAGAGCAAAAATTCTACTGCAATAAAGATGGAAAAAGAATATAAACAGCCAGTTTATAATGAATAAATATAAATGGCCTATAATTATGTAAAGCTATTTCATATTATTCAAATAAATGTAAATTGAAAGAACCAATTTCTGATTTAAAAAACTTATACAAATGTACAGGAAATAATGTCATATTTTGATATATGTACAGTATGCAATGAATCACCAAATCAGGGTAGTTAACATTCAAATTGGCTATGCTTTAAAAGTTAATAATTGGTTGCAAAGCTTTGGGGAAGAATCACATTTACACAGAATACAATTACTTAAAACTCCATAGATCAGAGATCAGTAAACTATGGCCAATGGGCCAGAGATAACCTGTAACCTGTGTTTCATACATTCTTCAACTTTTTGATGCCTTCCACATTTTAAATGTTGGAAGAACTATGTTTAACCAATGTTGGTGAACTTTGAAGGGTTCTAGAATTAGACTTCCTTCAGTCTTGAAAATGCTTTAAAGTAAAATTACAAGGCAAAATTGCTTATATGAAACATACTGTGATAAAATCATTTTGATAAGAATTAACATTGCTTGAATTGCAAGTAAGGTCAGGTCTGCACTGTCAAAAGACATTTTTTCAAAGTGATAGCTCCATTCCTACACAAATTCTCAGAAATGTATTCTAACTTCAAACTACAGTGATGTTTTTCAGGTCTCTATGCATGTGTAGAGAAAATTTCCATATTCCAAAATCCACTTAGTATGTAATTAAGGAACTTCAATTGGAAGTGATTTGCAATGTAATGACATGCTAAGAGACAGTCTAGCCTTTAGTTAATAGAATTCTAAAAGTGCCTTCCAATCTGTGAATGCATCCAATTAAAGCCATGTCTCATGGGTTGATATTGGCATTTAGCAGCACCAATATATACATGTAGAAAGATTTAAAAAAAACTACTTTATTTATTATTATTATTATTATTATTATTATTATTATTATTTTGTCTTTTTGAGACATGGTCTCCTTGTAGCCCCAGCTGTCCTGGAACTCACTATGTAGACCAAGCTGGCCTTGAACTCACAAAGATCCGCCTGCCTCTGCCTCCCAAGTGCTGGGATTAAAGGCGTGCGCCACCACGCCTGGCTATTTTTTTTATTTCATGTATATGAGTGCACTGTCTGCATGAAGGTGGGTGCACTCATGTCATACAATCAATCCCCTCAGAGGTCAGAAGAGGGCACTGGATTTCCTGGAACTGGAGTTACAGACATTGTTAGCCACCATATGGGTGCTGGGACTTGAACTCGGGTCCTTTGCAAGAACAGCCAGTGCTCTTAACCACCAGACAATATCACAGTTCAGCACTAATAACTAGACATTCACGGTAAATTTGTGTTAGAGAACACCTCTCAAAGGCTCCATTCTTCATATTTGTAAGGCTGGGTTACAAAAACCGTACCCGGTATACACAATTTTATGATATTTAAAATTTAATTAATAAAAGATTTATGCCTGGGCTAGGGAGAAGGCTAAGCGGGTAGAGCACTTACTGTACAAGTGTAAGGAGCGAGTTTGGACATGCAGCAATCATGTAACCGCTGGGTGGGTACTGTGGCCTGCCTGTAATCCCAGCAGTCTGAAAGCAGAGGCAGGGGGTCCCCAGAGCAATCTGGCCACTTAGACTAGCCATAAAGGTGAGCTCTCAGTTCAGCTGAAAGCCCCTATTTCAGTCAGTAAGGTGGAGAGTGACTGAGGAAGAGTCCCAATGGGTCTTTGCATGCATACACACGTACTCCAACACACACAAACATTAATACACATATGTAACCACAACATAGACACAGGCACATGCACAAAATGTTCATGGAAATCTGTTGCTTCTCTTGTGATGTAAGTACACACATAATAATCTTAGTTTTGCCTATTGACCCACAAACATAATATTTGTAATCAGGCTGGTCATTCATAGAAAGTTTTCTGACCCTTATTTTAAAACTGTATCAAATTTAAAAATCCATATATTCTTTGTAGGAGGAACCTTAAAGATAATGATAGGATAACATATGTCCAAGTTTGAGAAATGAAGTACTGTCTATAAAAATTGGAAATAAATATGCTGAAATAAACACTGGTTTTCCTCTTCTAATAGTAGCATGGAAGTTTCATAATAGTTCCTTTTATTCATTGAAAAAAATTAGTAATAACTTAAAACACTATCATATTCAAATTCATGTATATTTTTAATCTAAATTCTCAATATTCTATGCCTTTCTTACTTGGATTTCCCATTTCTGGTATCAAAATTATATACATTAGCCTTATAAAATGAATTACATGACTCTCTCTTGTGAAATTTGTATTTGATTTTTTACTGAAAAATAAATGCAAATATTTGAGAAGAAATTACTGTTTTTGAAGGACATAAATTAATGTCTAGTTAAAACACAAACACAGACCTGCTTAAGAGACTGACTTAAGAGACCCGGCTGAAGAAACTATATATCATAAAGATATTAATCCTAGTCCTCCCAAAGCTGAAAATTTCATAGAACTTCAAACTAAACCCTTTCAAGGAAACTTGAAAGTTGATCTTAAAATTCATGCGAAAACAAACCATAAATAATATTCAAGACTTACTGTAGTTAATATCAAGACTACATTGCAATGGAACACAGGAATAGAAGCCAAAGAAAAACATATCCATATATTATTGTTTTACTTGTGCGTTACCACTATGGTTAGTAGTATTATAAGTGTTGGCGCTAACGTTTATTCCCTACAATTATTTGTAGAACATTCTGTCTCTCTCATTTTCTGATTCTCCAAATTCTGTGGTTTCTCCTTTTGATTTTTAAAATTGTTACAGGGAATTAGGGTCATTAATTTGAAGAGGGTAAGCATTAATACTTCCTTTAAATTTTTTATGTTTTTTAATTATGTGTATGTGTGTGTCTATTTAGGGGTATGCGCACATGAGTGCAGGTACCCACAGAGTTAGAAAAGGGTGCTGGACCCCATGGATCTGGAGTTACAGTTACAGACAGTTGTAAGCCACCAGATGTGGGTATTGGAAACTACAAGAGCAGCAAGTGCTCTTAATCACTGAGTCATCCCTCCAGTCCCTAACACTTTTTAAATTGGTATAAATGCCATAAAGTTCTTTATTTTTAAAAGATTTATCATTAATTAATTAATTTATGTTTGTGTACACATGTGATGCTTTCTCTTTTTTCTTTCTTTGTTTCCTTCCTTCCTTCTTTCCTTCCTTCCTCCTTTCCTCCTTCCTTCCTTCCTCTTTCCTTCCTTCTTCCTTCCTTCCTTCTTCCTTCCTTCCTTCCTTCCTCCCTTCCTTCTTCCGTCCTTCCTTCCTTCCTCCTTCCTTCCTGCCTTCCTCCTTCCTTCCTTCCTCCTTCCTTCTTTCCTTCTTCCTTCCTTCCTTCCCTCTCTCCCTTTCTCTCTTTCTTTCTTCTTTCTTTCTTTCTTTCTCTTTCTTTCTTTCTTTCTTTCTCTCTCTCTCTCTCTCTCTCTCTCTCTCTCTCTCTCTCTCTCTTTCTTTCTTTCTTTCTTTCTTTCTTTCTTTCTTTCTTTCTTTCTCTTTCTTTGTACACATGTGTGTGATGCCTAAAGAGGTCAGAGAGGGTACAGATGCCCTGGAGCTGCAGTTATAAATGGCCGTGAACCACGTGACGTGGGTGCTGGGAACTGAACAGGATCTTCTGCAAGAATGACAACTGCCTTTAAGCCCTGAGCCATTTCATTTCTCCAGTTGCCTCGGTCTTCTATTTTTAATCTTCGTGTTTGGAAACACATTATGTAGTCTAGTTACCTGCTGATCCACTCGTGAGTTTCCTTACTATTCATGAATGTCAAAGTGGCCTTCAGATCTGTTAAGTCTGCTCCTATAATTTCATGCTCCTCAGTCTGACAGACTTCATGGATCTTTAAGGTACGACATTTATAGTTATTTATATCACCTCTTAATTTTCTTCTGACTTCACTTACTTTTTAGCTTTTAGATAGTT